CAAGAATCTGTGATTTGTTAATGCTCTTTAACTTTTATTTAACTGCCAAAAGTACATATAAAAGATTTCCAAAGATTTTACTGACCAACTTAAATGTATTTTGTAAATATAAACACATTTTGATTGTAATGGCTGCAACACACTCCAAAAAAGTTGTGACAGAGCAGAGGCAAAATAAAAGTGAAAAGGTTATAGAATATCCAAGTTAAACAGTTTTGAAACAGTAACAGTAAGCAACTGACCAACTTAAATGTATTTTGTAAATATAAACAAATTTTGATTTTGATGGCTTTAACACACTTCAAAAAAGTTGGGACAGAGGCAAAATAAAAGTGAAAAGGTTATAAAATATCAAAAGTAAACAGTTTTGAAACAGTTCACAATAAGCAGGTGAATTGGTAATAGGAGAGGGGAGCATGTTTGGGTATAAAAGGAGCATCTCAGTCTTTGCAAGCAAAGCTGGATCATGGATCATCACTTTGTGCCAAATTTCAAGAGAAAAGTGTCAAGCAAATAAAAAATGACATTTCTCAATGCAAAATTGCAAAGAATTTAGGTCTTTCACCAAAAATCATATATAATATTGTGAAAAGATTCAGGGAATCCAGAGAAATCTCAGTCTCTGTAGGGCAAGGCAGGAAACCTCATTTGAATGTGCCTGACCTTTGAGCCCTCAGATGGCATTGCATAAGAAACCTTCATGCTGCTGTGTTAAATATAACCACGTGGGATCAGGAATATTTTGGTAAACCACTGTCACTTAACACAGTCTGCCGCTGCATCAATTAATGCAACTTGCATTTACTCTGTTACTTTAGAAGAAAGCTGTACATCAGTTCTATGCAGTGATGCCGCGGGGTTCTCTGGGCCAGAGCTCATCTCAGATAATAAGAAATACAGTGGAGAAGTGAGCCGTGCTCAGATCAGTCCACATTTCAACTTGTTTCTGGGAAAAACAGACATTGAATTCTACAAAGGCACCATCCTGACTTCTATCAGGTGCACAAGCTAACATCTGTCATGAAATAGGGTTCATCAGTGCCTATGGGATGGGTGACCTGCAAATGTGTGAAGGCACCACTGAGGCTGAGGCATATACTGGGACTGTACAGAGACATATACTGACATCAGAGTGACATTTTTCCCGGGAAGTCCATGGTTATATGAGCGAGACAATGCTAGGTTTCATTCTGCATGTGCTACAGTGGCCTGCCCGCAGTCCAGATCTGTGTCCTATTGAAAATGCATGGTGCGTCATGAAGAGGAGAAATACACAATGATGACCACTTACTGTTGAGCAGCTGAAGTCTTGTGTCAAGCAAGACTGAGCAACATTTCCACTTGCAAAACTGTAGCAATTAGTCTTCTCGTTTAAAAATGATTAAAAACAGTAATTAAAGAAAAGTTGATGTGACACAGTTGTAAACATGCCGCTGTCCCAACTCTTTTAGGGTGTGTTGCAGCCGTCAAAATCTAAATTTGTTTATGTTTACAAAATACAATTCAGTTGGTCAGTGAAAACATTAGAGATCTTTTCTTTGAATTTTTGTCAATTAAATAGAGGTTAAAGAAAATTTGTATTGCATTTTACAAAATGTTCCAACTTTTCTATAAACTGAACCTAAATAGTAAAAAAAACATTAAAATGACAAACACACAAAACAAAATGACTAAATCTAACTAAAATATATATATTTTTTAAATCAAAATGTTAATAAAAAGTATATTAAAGTATATAAATAATACTAAATTTACACTAAATGAAAATACTTTTTAAGTATTGTGTTCAGCCATTACTTTTTCCATCATTTATATATACTGATAGAACAGCTCCTCAACACTTTCCTGCAAAGATTAGCTCCGACCTGGATTAAACACCTACCTGCAACTTTGTAGCAATCCTGAAGACCTTGAGTAGCTTGTTCAGGTGTGTTTGATTAGGGTTGGAGCATCCAGAGGTCCAGAGTTGAGGACCCATGTGATAGAACAAGGCTTTGAGCTCTTTTAGTGATGCAAAGTATGTTATTCTCAAGACATGCTACATGGAACTGGTTTTCGTGGTTTTGTAGGCCCCAGCATGGCGTGTGGGGAGAAGTACGCCACCTTGCCTGCCAGCACGCAGTCTGGCCCCATGAAGCTCATGAGTCTGGAAGAGGCGCAGGCTCGCTCTCTCAGTCCCAACCATCCAGCGATGAGAGAGAGACAAAGAGAGAACAGCCTTCCAGATACAAGCACTGCTGCAATGTACCACACAGTAATAGATCTGTCTGACAGCAGGTATGATATATTTACGCAAGCCTACACACACTCCCTATAGCATGTGTATGTTAGGTTTTAACATGCACAATACTGAAACTGTACAGCATGCACATAAACTGTAAAGCTTGACCTAGAGAACAACATTTCATTTGAAATCTTCTCATAACACAGGAGAAAATTCTCAGGAAAATCTAAGAAGTGGAAGTCCATCTTCAGTCTTGGGCGATCTGTCATCGACTCTAAAGGGAAGCTGAGTCGCAATGGGAGTGTGTTTATGAGAGCCCAAAATCCCTCTGGTAAGAAAGAGACAGAGAGCGAGAGAAGCTTTCTAGTGTCTAGAAACGAAAGTTCCCAAAAAGGGAAAACACAAAAGAGGAGGTGCAGCCAGAAATCAAAATGCCACTTTATGATATTTCGGGCAGCAGACATCAGAGCAATAATACAAGCACGATGTTGCTCTCGACGTCTGATGAGAGCCCTATAGATGGCCAAAGCATCATGAAGTTCAAACCCTATACTATGAACCCTACTGTATAGTGTGAGTGTTGCAGACGGTAAAACACTGAAACAATTGTGTCATTTAATAAAATGCATTTTCATATTGGTCTAAATGGTTTCTGCAAAAGCAAATAACACTCCACATAGAAGAAAAAAAAAAACTTTGTTTTTTGCTTGACCCTAGAGTCAGAAAATATTATACATATTTTAAAAACATGTCACCTTAATAATGGTGAATTACGTTAAAGGCCTAAAGATTATTATATTGACCTACATGAAGTAACATTTTGGCTTATGTCTGAAGAGAATATATTAATTAAATAAATAAGGTGTTTATAATAAATAATCTTTTTACTTTGTATGAATGTTTTTGTCTTTGGGAAAATAAATATATTTTATTATTATTAAATCAAAATTTAAAGTTTGACCCAAAACCAATTTGAAAAACACTAATGCATGTTACTGTAATACATTACTGTATTTTTCTTTTAATTTGGTCCAAATGATCTGTTTTTATCAGTGCAGAGTAAAGAAGAAGAACAAATAGTATGGCCAGATTTATGTTTTATGTTTCTTTCCTCTCTTGAACAGAAAAACCTGTTATAAGGCCATCCAAAAGCATGGACTCTCTCTGTTCCTTTCAGGCAGCAGGTGGGGCTAGATCTCCATATATACTTACTTTACTAAGCTGTCCTTTTGCAGTTCTCTAAAAAGATTTAAAACAATTTTGATGTATATAATAAATGCATATATGTATATAAAGATACATTATATATTAAAAATAACAACTTAATTCACATAAAAGAAAAAGCAGCTAATTAATTAAGATATCAGCCTGACACACGGCATATGGATTGATAGTATTACAGAAAAGGTTCATGACAGGAGGCTTGGTTTTATCTGTTTGTTAGATTAGTTTCTGCAGTACTGCAATAATAGAAAAAAATAATTATTTAATCAAATGTTTTCAAGTGAATGTATCAACTCAAAGTTCATGGAAAGTGCAGTTTATCACATTAATGAATGGCATGCTTTGTTTTACAAACAAATGCTTAATATTATTAATTCTACATTTTTTTTATCTTTGGGTAAAGTGTGAAAAAATGTTGGGGCCGCTGTACATAGGTTAGGTGTCACCACCAGTTTTCTCTTTTTCACTCCCATTCAGATGAGCACAAAGCACCAACAGAAGGAAGCAATGGTATTTTTATCCCAAGTCTAAAATCCCGAACCCTGGGCTCGGATATCGACTACAATCCAAACAAGAAGGATCCAAAATGGGACTCAGATCCTCATACTGCTTCGGGAGGATGTGTGAATGAGAAAAGAGAAAGAGCATCAGATGCCTCCTCTGCATCTCCATCTTTATCCCCACTGCAGAAAACTCTTCCAGAACAGCTGAAGGTTTTCAAAGGTGAAGACCGCAGCGGCTGCCAGCCCACATCTCCCAAAAACCGTCGGATGCTGTATTCTGGATCTGCCAGTAGTGGATCGTCTAGACCATCTTTTCCAGGCAGCCTGTTTCCGCTGGAGTCGTCGCCGCGGCAACAACGGAAGGCCCTCAACATTTCGGAACCCTTTGCGGTGTCTGTACCTTTGCGTGTGTCTGCAGTTATTAACTCTAACAGCACCCCCTGCAGGGCACCAGGGAAAGAGCGGGACAGGGGTTTGGGGGGACTCTTTAAGCCCACTAAGGAGGCTGGGCCTCTGGAACCCCATCGCAGTGAAAGTATTGGCACTGCTGGATTGCGTGTCCCCAGCAGAAGCAGCAGTGGGAACTTCACGTTCACAGACTGGGAGACTGGACTAGCAGGTCACTCCAGCAGCACTGGGTTCAGAGAGCACCTGCTCAGTGACAGCAGCGGAGGCAGCGGATGCAGTATCTATAGCAACAGCAGCCCTTTCCCCGCGGAAAATGAGGATCAGACTGGGGAAAGAGATATTACAGATGCGCTCACTCTGGGGACAACAAAGAGTATGACGATTGGTCAGTGTGTGTGTGTGTGTGTGTGTGTG